TGGTGGTTAACCCTTCTTGACTTGTTGGCTTTTCTCGCATGCTCACTCAACCAAAATAATTTTCCTTGTATACTGTATATATATAATGTATAACGTTATTTTTTCGACTAGTCTGCCTGAACCAACTGTTGACCTTGTATTTGATGCCAGAAAAAAACATATCTCTCTCGACTACAATCTGATACTTAGTTACTTTATTTCTCCCTTTCTTTCCATAGATACTCCTACGTCCAAGCATTATGGCATTCTTATCATATTACGCCGGTTCATTAGATTCCCTCCTGGATGGTATAATTTTCTTACATCAAATCGACAGTGAAACCCAGAACTAAACCGCTTTAATACACTTTCGGCTGCAGGACTGGGGCCGGATCCTCCAAAAGAGCCTTAACCGTCCCCCTGTATTTCCCTTATAGAAGAGCGAAGAGTTGATTTCCCGCCCGTCGGAAAGCGCCAATGGCTGCTCTCCCCTGCCTAACCTAAGGCGCCTTCACTCGCACCAATATGGCGGGTCCCTTGCTCTGTGTATGTGCTGGATCGCTCGGCCGTAAGTAAAGGCGCCTTAAGGAGATACGGCGCCTTAACGCGTTCGAGAATCTGGCCCCTGGCTTATTTCTGGCTGGAAGGAGGCCAGCGCGGGAAGCGGCTCAAAGCTGGCGGCAATTCGAAGTCACTTTTACAAGAGCAGAATTCAGAGGAGGCTGCGACTGCGCTGCTGCTGTCCCCGAAGCTAATCCTTGCTCGTTAATTGGCGAAGCAGCTAAGCCCCTTCCCTGCCTCCCTGTTTCCCTCTCTCTCTTTCTCAAATCTCTCTATCACCTTTGTCTCTCTCCTTGTTTCTATATTTCCCGCTTTCTCGTCTCCTCTCATACTCCCCTACACTCTCTCTTCTTCTCTTCTCCCTCTCTCACCTCTCTCCTCCTCTCTCTCTCTCTCTCTCTCTCTCTCTCTCTCTCTCTCTCTCCTCTCTCTCTCTCTCTCTCTCTCTCTCTCTCCTCTC